AGAAAGTTGCTTCCGTTGTTTTAAGTAGTGCTTTAAGAAACTATACATTTTAATGCTGATTTCAGTGTCCTGAAATTTATAAATAGCTAGAACGGGAGGAAGAACTCTGGTGGAAAAAGGAAACTTTACTCAATCTGCAAACACTTTCCAGACTTCTTTGTTCCACGTACAACTACTTAACTTGAACACATCTAAATCCTAAACAGCATATAGTAATATCAAATGAAGAACTGAAGTCTGGGAGAAAGTGCCTGTTCTGTTTTCTTCCTAAAGTTATCTTCATGGTTTCCAAAATATATAATGTTATTCCTAGCACTGGAAATAAAAATCCTGCAGACCCAAAGGAAGTCTATGCAACCTGAAAACCAATGTAGTTTACTCTGTGAGAGGGAAAAATCACAAAAGGTTCCCCAAGGCAGTGCTGATGCCACCGGTAATCTCTCTCAGGTATTACCGGCACACTTCATGGCTCCGGGTTATACCTGCCTGCAAGGCAGCCGCCCCAGCGAAGGTTTGCCAAATCCAGCAAGGCCCACGTTGATAAGATCATTCCCTATGCACTTAATTGAACTACAGGGGCACATTCCCCAGCTCAAACGTTGACTTTTTAAAAGCCCACAAACAGAATGCCTTCAAGGATAAGAAATTAAGAAATCAATAACATTTCTCTTCCATACATTTTCACCGAGCATTTTCTTCGCTCCACAGGCTTCCACCTACAAACCTGCTGAACGCAATTCAATTCAAAGCAGCAACCTCCAATTTATTTCCAAGTTATGAAAAGTTTGGTGTCCTGGCAAATGGGTCAGAAGTATGCATTAAGCAGACATGTCCACCTAATTCCTATACATACAGCAGGTCAAAAATGTGGGGCAGAAATACTAGAATTCGCACTTACATTGACTTTTTCTCTTGTTCTCACACAAAGTCTTCTGGTATAGGTTTTGTAAGTTACACAGCCGACACATAATTTAAAGACAACACTGGGTATGCGTGCCTGAAAAAGGTTAGGCACTGTGAATACACGATTTAAAAAATACATATATTTGAGGTCATGCGTGGGGGGGATAAGGGGATAATGTGGGAATGAGGACACATATGTAATAACTTAATCAATAATGAAATTTTAAAAATACGTATATTGGTGCCAACACTGGTATAATCCGCACTTCACAGTGACTTATTCCAAATAAGACACAAAACAAGAATTTATTCCACATTCAATTACTTTAGGCAGCAAACCTGCCTTCCTCAAAGGGGTTTGAGGCTGATTTTTGAAGGTTTCCCAGGGAAAGATAGTCCTCAAGTCTAAATCATTCAATATCCAGGGTCTTATCTGATTGGAATTCTAAAACTTGTATCTTTCCAAGTTGTTGTGTGTTTTTTTAGCACAAGGAGGGGACTGGATATTAAGTGGATAAACATCTGCACCCCATTTTCCATCCAGGGGACTAAGGAAAACCCCACACTTGGCCTGCCTAACTGGAAGCAACATTGCCATCTTTGATGAGATGGGCTACAATGCTTGTCTTGGCTAAGATGCAAGCATGTCACCCCGGCCTTGTCATCGTAGTCCCCCACCACACACACACACACCCCGCTAGTGACAGGACCTTCCTGGAAACCGGAACACATTTAGACCACATTCAGTTTCCCACCATTTACACAGTCCTGACACCCGGCCCTTTAACACACAACACACACACCCTGGTCCCCCTAGATTTTTGCTCCAGTGCCGCCTCCAAGTCAGCAAAGAGCTCGCATCCTAAGTGCCAATAACACAGCTTTAAAGGGCAACTGGGGAGTGGCTGGAGCAGGGCGATCAAGGTGCTCAAGTCCCACTTAACTCCCTGCCACTCTTCTCCCCTACCCCAAACACGTGTGAACCCCTGCAGACCCTTTTTCTCGGGTGCCCGCGGGGTGAGGAGCGGCCACAGGGCCAGCAGCGTCACCAGAGCTGAGGTGGGTTGGGGGCTCCAGGATGGCGGAGGCGCAGGCCCACAGCCCACAGCCAGGCTACCCTGGGGGCCTCTTTGGGAACTCGGCCCAGTTCCAGGCCTGGATGTCCGCGGGGCCGCAGGGCCTGCAGGCCTTCCGCCTTTTGGACTGACCATCCAGACATACAACTAGGAGAAAACCCAAACTCTTTTTTTTTTTTTGAGCCAAATACCTGGGAGCAAGCAATTCTTACAATTTTGTTGGAAACCCCAACTCCCTCCCCTGTTAGATTTTAAAGTTATTTTGAATCAAGCGCTCAAAACAACACTTGGCCAATCCAGAAGAGCCCTTGCGCTGGGGGAGGGGGGTGCTTGAGAAAAGCCTCCCACACCCGTGAGGGGCCAACTGTCGGAGGTACCCTCCCTAAAATTAAAGGACAAAAGCCAGGCGTCAACCCTCCTTCCCAAGGTCAGGTGGTGGCATCAGTCACCATAAGGCAAGAGCACCCTGAATTATTTAATGGAGCCTGTTGTCACAGGAGGCAACTCAGCAAAGCAGCACATTTTAAAAATCAAGGTAGAGTGTGCATACAGTCAAATACCTGGGGTTTGGGTGTTCAGTCCATCACCTTCAAATAGAGGACAGCCATCCTCCAAGAGTGCCCCCATGCTCTCTGCCAGTCAACAAGCATGACTTTTCAATGGAACAATATTTTAAAACTGTTACCCATCACTTCCTTAGAAGGAAAGGAAAAATTTAGGCCATGGGCGGGACCCCTTATATGAACATGGTGTCACTTTACTCCTCCATTCACAGCACTGGTTTGTCATCATTAAACTCAAATTTCCTAGCATTCTAAATCCAGGAAAAAAAAGGTCTAAAAATTAATGTCCAATTTCTTGGTAATGAAAAATGGAAAAGTGGGAGGTTGATTTTGCTCAAAACTGGAAAGTTTCATGTTTTTAAAGGACCTTTAGTTTAACAATGCAGTATATCTTAACACTTCTGCCAAACCATTTTAACCTAGTGTAGGGCACATGTTAAACAGTGAATTTCCAGGGCATCCAGGTACCTTCCAGGGTGGGGGGAGCGTCACTTCGAATTTTACACTCTCCCATCCCATCGGAATGGTTTTATAACTTAAAAAGTGCATAAACCTTTTACAAGTCTGGTGACACTAAGCATCCACTGTTTTAGCCCAAATAAATCGTATGTGGATCTTTAACTGGGAATATAAATAAAACCTGACATTTAAAATCAACTGCTGGGAAGGAGGGTCCAATCAACAGGCATCCCAGGAGGAAAATACGGTGGATTCAAGTTGCCCTCTTCCCTGAACACTTCCCCGGATCCCCAGTTCACCCTAGTCTCCACACCTTTCCATCCCTGAGATTCGGATTGATATTTAGCTCAACCATTTTTCTGAAAGTGATGCAAGAACATACTGGAAACATTCACCCGTGAATGTGTAGAAAACTTTAAAGGTGAGTCCCTTCAAAGCTTAAAAACAAAGGACAAGAATAACTGTTCCCCAGCTTCAAACCTAGAAGAAAACCTTTAATAAAGGGAGGCACCTACAACAAGTAGATTAGAATTTCAACTTTTTCCCACTAGGAGAAGCCGGCTTAAGGACATCAGGCAAATAGCTCCGCCTTCCTCCCCAAATAACAGGTTAGGAGAGGAAAAGGCTGCGCTTTGCAAGCCTCTGCCCAGCTCGGTACCAGCACGCCCACTCCAACTCGCAGGCAGCAACTCCCACTGCGATTTTTAAGCCTTTGCTGTGTCTCCTGCTCTACGTAGGTCCAAGGCAAAGACTTTAGCAAGTACACACAGCGTAAGTTACCGACCATCTTTACAGAGCCTGCTGCTCAACGCTTTCGGCCCTTTGCTCTAATGGTTCGGGGGAGTGGACGGTGTCACACGATGTGAAAAATATGCAATAAGGCTTTCATTTAACAGCCAAAACAGAGAAATGAAGCCCAAAGACTGCAGTGCAGCCCTCGGACGTTGCGAACCCCCAGGTTCTAGCCGCGTGCAGCTAGGTCCGTTTTTGTGTGTGTTTTTTTCCCCAAGAGGAGTCGAGCCCCCCGCAATCCGGTTCCAGTAGGAATCAAAGCTGGAGCGGCCCAAGGGACTTCCAGCTGGGAGAGGGCAATGGGGACAGTCCCCCAATTCTGCGTCTCTAGGCGCAAACCTGGGCCGACGACCGAAGGGCATGAGGGAGGGTTCAGGCACCAGGACACGTTTTCTCCAGTGCGGGGAAAACAACAGCGGGGAAGAGAGGCGCTTTTGACCCGGGCCCCTCGGTCCTCAAAGATCCAGATGCTCTCAGATACAGCGCAAGGAGAGGGCTGCCACCGTGTCCCAACAAAAAAACAGAGACCTCCCTCAGACACGCGCACGTGGAAACCAGGTCTACACAGGCACACTCACTCCTCACCCACACAGCCATCTCCTCCTGGCTCATGCCCTACTTAAAAGCAACCATCTATGAATTTTACGAAAAAGGAGCCAAGAAGCTAAAAGAGAGCCCTCGGCACGTTGGGAGGCCTCTAGGAGTGCCCGCACAAGGAAACCACATCTCCACGGACACACAGCACATGCTCTGCCATCTCGGGTCTTACTTAAAACAATAGCACGCACGCCTTGTCAAACAAATAAGGAAATCAAATCCATAAAAAAAAGGGGGGGGGTGTCCTCGGGAACGGGGCCGGCGGAAACCCTCGCACTAGGAAACCAGGTCTACACTGACACTCACCTCTCTCTTCCCTGCCTCCTTAGAGAAAACGGTTGCCACGTTTTGTCACACGGGAAATTAGAGGAAAAGGGGTAACTCCACATGTGGGGATCCACGTTTTCGGACACACACATAGCCCTACTGCTATGTAGCGAGGACCGCCATGTAGCCAAAGGGAAAACAAGACATCCCGAAAGGAGAAGACACCCCCCACCCAACGACTCACCGCTGTGGGACCGTCCCGCGCGCGGCCTCCCCGATGGAAACACACACACGCCGCACCCGCGCCCCGGGGAAGCCCCCTCGGAATTCGCCATGCACTCACCTCGTCGTCGTGGTGCTGGCAGAAGCCGAGGCGCTCGGGGAAGACCGAGATGATGGAGAAGGGCGGGCCGGTGAAGGGCGCCCCGAGCCCGAGCTGCTGCGCGGCGGCGGCGGCGGCGGCGGGCCCCGGCGGGCCGCGCTCGATGTAGTGGTCCTTGGTGAGGCGCACGCGCTGGTGCGCTCGGACGCAGTTGTCGCACAGGTGCTCCTGGCAGTCGAGGCAGCGCGACGAGGCGGCGTTGCCCTCGTCACAGGAGCTGCAGCCGTGAGGCCGGCGCAGCAACAGCGCCGACGGAGAGGCGGCGGGTCCTCCCGGCGCGGAGCGGGGAGGCGCGGGCGGCGGCGGAGGCGCCTGCGGGAGCGCCGGGGCCGAGGCGGACGCGCGCGGGTGCGCGTGGTGCGCGTGGTGCCGGTGGTTGCTGTGGCCGCCCGCACCCGCCGGGGTGCCGGCGCGCCCGTTCTTGGGCGGCGGCTCGTCGGCCGTGGCCACCACGGCGTCGAGCAGGTTGCTGAGCAGGAAGGCGGACGAGGGTAGCGCGTCCATGCCCGTCGCCTCGGCCAGCACGACTTTCTGGTCGCAGACAGGGCAAAGCAGTTTGAGTGACTCTCCCGGCGCGCCGCCGCCGGCCGTAGGCAGCCGGTGCGCCTCGAGGCACGGGCGGCAGAAGGCGTGCAGGCAGGGCAGGACGTGCAGGCGGCGCGCCGCGGCCCCGGGGGCCCCGCCGCCGCCCCCCGACGACGTGGACGTCTGCGAGGACGACGACGACGCAGACGAGTTGGAGGAGAGCGGCGCTGGCGAGCCGCACATCTCCTTGCACAGCAGGCAGATCTGGAAGTCGGTCTCAGGGAACGAAGCCATTTGCAACCAGGCCCGGAGGAGGGAGGAGACCAGAGAGGAAGAGGAGGAGAGGAGAGCGCCGACGAGGTGGGTGGGGAGCCGCCGACTCACTCAGAAAAATGCATCGATTAGGTCTGCAATCCAGGAGCCCGCACCAGAGCGGCGCGGCCCTCTTGGCCTCGCCGCGTCCGGCCCGCGCGCTGCCACTCCCGACGCTGCGGGCATTAAATGCCACTATCCAGAGGCTACAGATTCTCCCCGGAGGACGTGGGGGCTGCGTGCCTTACAAAGCGGGAGCGCCGGAACAAGTCCCGACTCGCGAGGGGAGAGCGGGGGCAGGGAGGTCAGAGGACTCCCTGGAGCAGCTGGAGCTTGGCTTCTCGCTCGCGGAGGCAAGTCCTCCAAAGTAGAGTCCGCTGTGCAATCCCAGTCCGGGCGGGAGAAGCGAAATTTGGTTCGACGAGTATTTGGTGCGTTGCTTTTCTTTAGATTAATTTAGTTAGTCTCTTCTTGGGAGAGAGTGGCTCCCCCAAACTAGTAAAGGCGGGAGCGGCGCGACGCCAAGCCCGTGTCCCCCCGCGCGACGCCGGCCGCCCCACCGCATGACGCGGCGGCCAGGGACTCCTGGGTGGCCCGGCGTGCCGCGCTCGGGCTTGCGCACGGCCGGGCGCGGGCTCCCCTGCAGGACTGTCGGCCCCGCAGCAGCTGCAGGTCGTAGGGGCCCGGCCGCGGCCGCCCGCGTGTGGTAGTACGCACGCGCGTCCCACGCGCCTCGAGTCTCCCGCGCGCCTGCCTGGCCTGGCCGCGGCTGCCGGCGCTTAACACGCACGCGCGCCCCACGCGGCCCCGGGCCCTCGTGCCCCGCCTCGCCCGGCCTGGGCGCCTCCCGCGCGCTCCTTCCCCTCCGGTTTAGCCGCGCTGCAGCGCGGGGCCGCAGGTCCCCGCGGGCCGTCCTGAATTATTCATCGGCAGGAAGATATTAGATGTACCCGCTGCCCGCTCCGCGCGAGCCGTCGTGCAATGCTATCCGAGCTCCGCGCGCGCCCCGCGCCCCTCCTCCTCCTCCTCACGTCCGTCCTCTCTGAAACCTTGGCAGCGAAGGGGGATCACATTTCCTTTGTCATCGGGCCATTTTGCCCTCGCCTCAGTCCCCCCTCCGATCCCGAGCCGCGGGGACGGAGCCTCCTCTGGGGCGCGCAGGAATCAGTGGAACCGGCAACGGCCCAGCGCGGTGAGCTCGGGAGCCGCGTGGCCAACGCCGCCGGCCAGCGTCATCTTTCAGAAACGAGTCGCCGTGCAAGACTAGGGTGGCCCCGGCCGCGCTGCGCCTACCGGGCTTTGCTCACGCCGCGCGCCCTGACCTCCTGGGGCTTTGCACAACTCCCCCAATTCGGGCTGCGGGCGTGCACGCGCGTGCGAGCCCCCCTCTTTCTCTGCTTTGCCGTCTCTTCCTCCTCCTCCTCCTCCTCTTAGTTCGCTGGTTATTGGGACTGATCGGAATTCGGAATCCTTTTAATCTCCAAAGGAGCAAACTCACTTCCGCCCGAGTGCTGGGAGGGGGCTGGGGGAGGGGACACAGGGGAGGGGGTTCCAGGCAAACAGGAAACATTAGCCCTCTCTGCATGGCTCGCTTTTGTGTGCTCCCTCCCTCCTCCCTCCAACCTCCTCCCTTCTCCAGGCCGCTGGGGAGACGAACGCCCCCAGGCTTCAGTGTGACGACCTTTGAAACCTTCCGAGCGAGGAGCGGAGAGGGACTCTTCCGTTTATTTAAAAAAATAAAAGAAAGGAAAAGATTTCATTCGGAATCCTGGTTCAACAGAAGCTGATATCCACTGCCCGTGAGATCTAGGATTTTTTCCCCTACCTTTTTTTTTTTTTTGAATTATTATTTTTTAACATTTTCTTAAGGACTGCATATCTGTGATCGACACTAAAACATCACGCCGTTGTGTGCAGTTGGATGGGTGGAATTAAACGAACCTGAATTCTGATCTCCGGAGGGGCCGGTTTCCTTTGAGTTTTAATGAGGGGTGTGGGGCAGAGGGCAGCTGTTCAGGGGAGGCTGCCCGGGTGATGGCCCCTCGGCCATCTGGGTGGTGCCCCAGGCTGCCTGGGCGGGTTCTGGAAGAGGAACTTGCTTGGCCCTGGAAAGAGACTGACTTGGGAGAGCAGATAGGACCACATGTCAGGATTTAGAGGGTATCTGGTCTGATGGCCAATGGGTTGAACAGTTGTCCAGGTCTAAACACTGTCAAGCTGTTAGTGACATGTTGGGTCCTACTTATACAGGCAATAACCTAGATGAGTCTCAAAAACATCACATTAGGAAAAAGCTGCCAAACACAAGAGTCCATACTATGTGATTCCATTTATAGGAAATTAGAGAACAGGCAAATCTAAGCCATAGAGATAAGAAGATTATCCGTGGGGGTGGGGTTATACTGACTGGGAGGGCGGGGAGGAGGGAACCTTGGGGTAAAGATATCTATAAAAAATATATTGGTGTCTACATTTGTCAAAACTTGTCAATCTGACATTTAAGATCTGTCCAGGTCACTGAATGTAAATTATATTTCAATAAAATGAAAGAAAAAAATAGTGTCCACTGTGAATAACCATGTCTGGGTTATAAAGGTGAAAAAAAACACAGCCAGGTAAATATCCCCAGCTTCTCTAAATTTGCTCACCAGAATTGGGGGCGTTTTACAGGGAAAGATCAGCTTGGAAAGAGCCCTTAAATCGACCCAGCTGGATAAATGTGCTGAACATTCCATAGTGCAGAAACACCTCCCTAGCCCTAAGGGGACAAAGCCAAGTGCTGTCCTGAGCCTGGCAGCCCCACTGGGAAGGGCCAAGTCCTCAGCTGCCCTCAGGAGCGCTGTCCTCAACACCTGGAGTCAATCGGAGCTCAGTGAACATTGACTGAAATATGTAGGGAGTGCAGCAATTACTCTCAAATAAAAGCAAAACATGCCAATTATATCTCAATAAAACTGGAAAAACAAAACAGCTCCTTGTTTGCCAATGAAATAGAAGTAAGCGTCTCATGCTACCATTTATTGCCTTTATGAGTTTCTTCGTTTCGTAGTTTGAGACCTGCGTGTAAACATGCACACAGTCACATATGACTCTACACGCGGCTATAGAATTTTCTACCACACTGGCCTTGCTTCAGAGGTGTTGTATGTATTTGGGGGGGTTGGTTTCTTTTCCTTTCTTTGATTGTTTTTAATCCCCCCCACCCCCCATTTAAAAAAAAAAAAAGGAGGAAAACAGATGCGGGGAAGAGAATTGCCAGAAGGAAGATGGCCCCAGAGGGTCAGAAAAAGGATGGGCCAGACCTGCTGTCTCCCTCGTGGTTGGCCCCACCCACCAGCATCTAAAAGGTTTATTTTAAAAAATTAAAGATGATGGGTGCAGCTGGGGGTAGGACGGTGTTGAGCAGTCCTGCAGATCCTAACTCTAAAATATCTTGCAAGTGGATAGCGGATATGAGATGAGAAGTCAGCTGAGACATCATGGAGGGGCAGGAAGGCTGTAACTCCAGAAAGAGGAATCAGACTTGACAGCGGTTGGTAGGTTAATTTCCTGGGGCCAATTGCTCAGAATAAGCCAAAAAGAAAAGAAAAAAGGAGTAGGGGGGTTGAGGGAAGAAAGGTTTTGATTTTATCAAATATATTTCCTTTCTTAAATTGATAAACATTGCTAGGAAACAGGGCTGTGGTATAAATTGTTAAATTAGCACATTCCTAATGTCCATTGACTTAATGTACCATAGGTAGGAAAGAGGAAACTCTTTAAAGCCAATAATTTAATCCTAATTGTACAGAAATACAGTTAAAATTTTTAAAAAATATTGTATAGTGATAAATAACAAATTAGGATTAGACTCTAATTAGCCTTATCCACGAGAGGAACAAAAGCCATATATCCAGATGAGAGGCCAGAGAGAGTCCCCTGCTATAAACTAGTATTAAAATTTTCATTGCATCCTAGCTAATAAACACCCTTTCTTAGCAAGGGAGGAGCAGGCAGCCTTCCAGTTTTCTCTCTGCAAGTTAATGTGAGAAAGGGAGTTCATATACCTCCCCAAATCCTGAACATAAATCATTTTGTATTTTAATAATAACCACCTTTTAAAAGAAACCAGCCCTGAAATTATGTAGGCAGTAAATTTGCATTCTTTCTCCAAATTCTTCTGTAACCATATTTTGTTTCCAAAGATGACAGTAGGCCCTGCTGCTCTCAGACCTGGGGTTGGGGATTAGACCATACTTCCATCAGAGTGATTGTATCTGCTTTTTTCAACTTATCTTTAATTAAATATCTGATGCACCTGCTTGTTTTGATGTCAAAACTGCACCTTCACCATCATCCTCCAGTGCATTCGTATAAATATTTAAAGCATAATTCACCAAGTATTTTTTGAAAACATTCAACAAATAGTACATCACAATCCGTATTTTGAACCATGAGGATGGGTGGGTACCAGCCTAATAGGCAACCTTTGAATCATTGTTTGCATCATCCTGCCAGTTGAGGGGGGATAGAGTTCTACACTGGGGCCAACTCTTGACTCTGCCCTAACGCTGGCCTTGGAATCATTAACGGTAGTGTGTCAGGTGCTTTCCACCTCCCAGAAGTCAGAATAGCAGCATGTCAGATGATAAAGTGTAAGCGCTAGCCACCTAGATCTTCAGAAACAACAGTAGGGAAACTTGAATTGCACATATGAAAGCCAAAAGTCAACATCCAGCTTTACTAGTAGTTAAACATTGTTCAGAGTTCAGCTAGGCTTACATCCCAGTTTCATCACTCTTAACTGAGTGACCTCGAGCAAGATACTTAACTTCTCTGTGCCTCGGATTTCCCATGCATATAATATGACTGATACAAGTACCTAGCCCATCAGGGTCAAATGAGCTACTAACTGTACAGTCTTAGTATAGTACCAATCATATGTCAAGCACACATCTAATTAGCTTTCTGGGTTTTGGGGGTGTTTTTTTAAAATATATTTTTATTGATTTCAGAGAGGAAAAGAGAGAGAGAGAAACATCAATGGTGAGAGAGAATCATTGATTGGCTGCCTCCTGCACGCCCACCACTGGGGATCGAGCCCCGCAACTCTGGCCCATGCCCTTGACCGGAATGGAACCTGGGACCCTTCAATCCACAGGCCGACGCTCTATCCACTGAGCCAAACCAGCTAGGGTCTAGGTTTATTTTTAATACTTTTTTTATTGATTGATTTTCAGAGAGAGAGAGAGAAACACATATTTGTTGTTCCGCTTATTTAAGCATTCATTGGTTGCTTCTTGTATGTGCCCTGACCAGAGGTCACATCCCACAGTTTGGGCATATCTGGATGATGCTCTAACCAACTGAGCTACCCGCCAGGGCTTAGCTTTCTGTTGTTGTTTCTTCTTTCTTTTTTAAATTATCCTTACTCAGCATAACCAACAGGCTGTTTTCCCAAACTGCCTGCCCACCCATTTAACGTTGTCATTGCCTAATCACTACCCTTCACTGAACCTCGCATCTCACACACTCATTTACATCTTCCTTCCCATCCATAATAGAGAGCTGTAATCTCACCTGTCACTCTCACCTCAAGACCCCACTGTGGCAGCCTGTCGCCCACAGTGTTTTAGCTAAGCTCTTAGCTTTAGTTTTCTTAAGTGGAACAAGTATGTCTTTTATAATAAGGAGGCAAAAACTATAAAAGTTGTTCTTAAAATAAAAATAGCAGAAAATCAAGATATATAAGTCAGTGCATACTGTTAAGACTGAACAGTTTCTTATTCCAAATGCTCTCTGATGTTGTCGCCGAAAGATTCTCTGCCATTCAATTTATCCCTGTTTCACC